TCTTCTTTTATGTGCCATGTCCTTTCAGGATGTAGGCGATCATGGCCCTCCACATCTTCCTGACCCTTCTAGCTCTTAATAAGTTATTATCTTTTATTATTTCTCCTAAATCCTTTTCTACCATCCATTTGCTCAAGATCATCAAGTATGTTAAGTTCTGCTTTTATGTGCCGTGTCCCTTCAGGATGTAGGCGATCATGGCCCTCCACATCTTCCTGACCCTTCTAGCTCTTAATAAGTTATTATCTTTTATTATTTCTCCTAAATCCTTTTCTACCATCCATTTCTGCTCAAGCTCATCAAGTATGTTAAGTTCTGCTTTTATGTGCCATGTCACTTCAGGATGTAGGCGATCATGGCCCTCCACATCTTCCTGACCCTTCTAGCTCTTAATAAGTTATTGTCTTTTATTATTTCTCCTAAATCCTTTTCTACCATCCATTTGCTGAAGCTCATCAAGTATGTTAAGTTCTGCTTTCCTCTCTCCCCCTCTTTCCCTCAATCTGTAATGTGGGTCTTCTTCTTTTATGTGCCATGTCCCTTCAGGATGTAGGCGATCATGGCCCTCCACATCTTCCTGTCCCTTCTAGCTCTTAATAAGTTTTTTCTTTTCATTATTTCTCCTAAATCCTTTTCTACCATCAATTTGCTCAAGCTCATCAATATATGTTACATGCTGCTTACGTCTGTCCCTCTTTCAAAATAAAGCATGTACATGTATTGACAATTGCACATTACAGAAATGAAATACTAAGTTATGAAAAGAATTACAGCTCACCATGAAAACCAAATGTTGAAACCAACCAACATTAAATATAAAACCAACACATATACACCACTAATGTCCATCGGGATGGTGGGAAAGTGGATATAAGAGATGTTTATTCACGTGTTCAATCCCTGGATCAGGTAATGAGGTATTGGTTCAGCAGGAACAAAAAATAATTGACATCATCAGGACAAAATAGTACAATAGTCAACTACTTGTCTATGTGCCATGTCCCCTTAGAATGGAGGTGATCATGGCTCTTAACAATTCCCTGTCTTTCACAGCTCTTAATAAATTTTGTCTTTTTGTTAATGTTGTTCTGCCATACATTTACTCAAGTCCATCAAATATGTTACACACTGCTTTCCTCTGTTTCTCTTTCCTATCCTGTCCTGTGAGTATCAGATTTTCCAAGCCCTCCTTCCTCATTACATGACCCAGAAATTTCAACTGCCTCTTTCTGATGTTAAGTATAAGTTTCCTTTTTGTTTCCAGTTTCTCCAAAACATTGTTGTTGCTCACATCTTCGATCAGTGATATCCTCAGTATCTTTCTGTAGAAGTATTTCTGTTGCTTCAAGTCTCTTCTTCATCTTCCAGTATTCACTGCCATATAAAAGGACAGATATCATGTAAAAAAGGAAAGAAACCCCTATACCTGTTTGGTTCTTCTTTTATAACCCCCACTCTTATTCACAATCACTCACTGCTGGCTGGGTGTGGTCACTACGACTGGTGTTTAATCCCCCACCCTACTCTTCAGTTACATTTTCATTCACTTCATCTTTTACTTTCTATTAGATAAGTTTTTTTTTTTTCAAATTACCACCGCCTATCAGATTTGTGTTCCAGTCCCATTTATTAGATTTTGCCATAAAAATTCAAACATACCCTACTTATTACAGCTCTCTACTGTTTATTGTTTTGTTTTTTTAAAAAAAAAAAAAAAAATTCCCTCTGTTCAATTTAAAAAAGGAAAGGGAAAAAAATTACCACAATCAAATTATTTAAAAATTTATAAATGAACCTTTTTCCATTAACGAAAAAACATAAAAAAAGTCCCAAATCATTTATTTGATCACACTTCAAGCATTGTCTAAAAACCCTGCCTTTGAATAAAAAAAAAAATCACTTTATTCTTTTTTGTATTTTAATTCACATGATGTGTATATGGGTTCATGTGAAAGTGAAGAAAAGCCAGTCAGGCAAAACATTCATCCAAGAGTCAGTCAGGCAAAACATTCATCCAAGAGTCAGTCAGGCAAAGCCTTCATCAAAAAATAAAAAAAAACAAAACAAAAGAGATGTGGAAGAAATAGTGATTAAAAAAAGGGAAAAAGTAATTGTGAATGCGTCTGAATACTAAACTTAAAATAAAATTTATTTAAAAGTGTCACAATTCATTACTATATTCTTCATTGCTTCTTCCTCTAAAGAATGACACAGGTCACTAAGTTACTGTTCATTCAATAAGAGCATCTTTAGTACATGCACATACTTAAAAGAACACGCAGGAAGAATAAAACTAAATGATCATTACTTTTAAGAGCAGTTTGCTAACCACTGCACAATGAGAAGTTCTCAGATTAAAAAATTGAAACATGTCTGACCTCTTTCAGACAAGGACATGGATATTACACAGATCAGATGTGAAGCTTTTTAGAGAGAGAGAGAGAGAGATAATATTAGTGGTCAGTATATATATATATATATATATATTGACATATATATATATATATATATATATATATATATATGTATATAAATAAAAATAATGAAAATATTTTAAAATTGTAATTAAAATTGTGGTAAATTAAAATGAATTCTAACCTAAACTTCTTTTTAAATTGTAATTAAATAAATAAATAAAGTTTACTAAATTAGAGAAATGAAGTAGCTATTTTTGCCGTAAAGATGAAAAAAAAAAAAATTTTACTTAAAAAATATTTAAATATAAAATTTTAAAAATCGTAATATAAATATACTTGATATAGAAAAAATAATTTTTACTGAAGGTAAGTAACTCGGATACATTTACTTCTATTAAATGAAATATAGTCTATAAAAACTAATAATGAAAATACTTTAAAGTTGTAATTAAAACTGTACTTAATTAAAATGAATTTTTTTTTTTTTTTTTTTTTAAGCATTTCATCCCAAGCAAGGCGGGAAGCCACTAGGACATAAGGGGTTACAGAAAATAGGAAGATCAGATAGGAGTGATAGAAGAAAGGATGAGGGTAGTAGATAGATTAAGGCAACTGGAGATGTCGATTGACATTACACTTGAATAGCTGGAGATTATAACTCTCAGGAAACAGGAGAATAAAAGAGAGTTCCACAGGCGAGAGGTGTGAGACATGAAGCTATTAGAGAAGAAGAGACGGCTACGTTTAGGAGTTTCGACAGTGAAGGGGTGAGGCGGGATGCCAGCCTCGTAGGGCGCTTGAACTCATGAAGTTTGGGGAACCAGAGAAGGCAGTTCCTCGGAGCAATTTCCATGAAAGTATTTGTAGAACAGACAGAGGGAGGCGACGGTGCGTCTGTGAGAAAGTGACTGTAGACGAGACGCCAGGTCAGGGCCAACCATATTGTATATCCGCTTCTGGAGCCTATCAAGAACCCCCGAGGCAAACAGAAGGGCGCCAGACCATATATGGCAGCAATACTCCATGCAAGGGCGAATTGTGGATTTGTATATCTGGAGGATCGACTCAGGGAGAAAAAACTGTGAAAGCCGCTCAGTGAGCCAACTTTCCTTGCAGTGGACGAGGCAATTGACTCGATGTATTTATTCCATCTCAGGTCAGCAGTCAACGTGAGACCCGAGAAGCCGTAGAGAGAGTTTGCTCGAGAAGTTGAGCGTCGACATTCTAATGGAGGGAAGGGAAAGCTCTCTATGGTGATTAATAGAGAGCAGTTTTGTCTTCAAGCGTTGAAGTTGACTAGCCAAATCATGCCCCAGTTCACAATCGATTGGAGGTCCTTTTCGAGACGCACGGCAAGGTGAGTTTTGTCAGCGAGACTACATTTGTTTTTGAGGCAGGAATAAATTGTGGTGTCATCCGCGTAGATGCCGACTTGAGAAGTTACGGCGTCAGAAAGGTCATTTATATAGATAAGGAATAAGTGGGGCCTAGGATGGAGCCTTGAGGAACACCTGCGTTCGTGGGATAGGAACTGAGGAGAACCGTTGTGAACGACCTTCAATTCACGGTTTGACAGGAATGATTGTATTACGTTATATAATCGACCCGTAATGCCATAACCCTGGATCTTGCGGAGAAGGCGGCGTGCCAAACCCTATCAAATGCTTTGGAGATATCTAGTGCAACGGCTCCGGCTTCCCGTTATTTTGAGAGTTCGGTAGACTGTTTCAGTGATGGCTGTGAGCACATCGGCTGTAGATCTGGCAAAGCGGAAACCATATTGCTTGTCTGAGAGCAGATTATGGGTTGTGAGGTGGTTAACCACCCGGTATTGATTAGAGTCGAAGATTTTGCCGAAGAGGGAAGGAGACTGATAGTGTCGCAGTGTGCCAAAACACCACTCCCACCTTTTCTTAAACAATCCCGGATATGCCGTCCGGCAGAGAAAGGTCACGACCCTTGTGTGCTAAAAATAGCAACGACACCCTTTCAAACTGACAGAAACACACAAAACTCAATTTTCGCCACTAAACAAAAATAAAAGACCTTTAATTTCGAACCGAAATTAATTTAAATACAGTCAACAAACACCGAACACACTTTCGACTGTAATTAATACGGCCCTTAATTGATTATATTCATTTACTTGTTTAGCGTCACCGCTTTCTCTTGTATGAACCGTCATACTGAGATACCCGAGACTTTTATGACCAAAACATTGACTAAGCCTTGACCAGCTTGGACATGTTATGACCAATCTTTGACCAGTGACTCTATGCGGAAACGCTTGGGTTTCCCACGAAAAACGACTTTGTGTCACGTCTTGACCCCGTGGGAGTCAAGTAATCCCACGAAAAACAACCTAGTGTCACATCTTGACCTCGTGGGAGTCAAGTAAATACCGCCGGCCCGGGGGAGCAGGAAGCCTCCCTGATTCGCGACTTTGACGCGCCCAGTCAAGTCGACCAAGCCCAGCAGCAGTTGTTCAAACAGTCTTTTTCAGGGCTAACTTCCGAAAGTCATTCGATCACCACTCTTCGAGGCTCCACTCACCTCACTCTTCGCTACTGCCTTCCCTCTGAGACGCCAGCTCACTCCTGCAGCCTCCAGCACACCTGCAGCTTCCAGCACTCCTGCAGCCTCCAGCTCACTCCTGCACCTTCCAGCTCCCTCCTACAGCTTTCAGCTCACTCCTGCACCTTCCAGCTCTCTCCTGCACCATCCAGCTCTCTCCTGCAGCTTCCAGCACTCCTGCAGCCTTCAGCTCACTCCTGCAGCTTCCAGCAGTCTCCAGCTCACCCCTGCGGCGCTCTACTGACGTCCCGCTACCTATTCCAGCACCCGCTGACGATCTAATCCAGCGCCCGTTATCGTCCGGACACTGTTCCCGAACAAACGACCTCTGTCGTCTTACCATCCACCGTTCGCTAATAAAGACACGATTTCCATCGTCTACAACAGACCATCTGCGTTTGTCATCCTTCTTTGCTATTGCCATCTCCTTGCCTTTGTGTCCCCTTTTTAGTTGTACGGTCGATTGGCACTCACACCTCTCGGCCCGCTGCAACAATAGGATGGTAGTTGGAAGGGTCAGAGGGGTTGCCGGAGTTCTTGAAGACAGGAACGATCGAAGAGGACTTCCAGCAGTCAGGAAAACAAGATTCCTTGAGGCAGTAGTTGTATAGTTTCGAAAGGGCGGGCGCCAGTTCAGGCGCGCATTTCTTTAAGACAATGGCTGGTATCCCATCTCCACCACTCGCCTTGTTGGGATCTAAATTGGAGATAACGCCCAGAACCAAAGTTGGGGTTATGTTTAACCCACTCAATATGGCCACAGTTCTAAGAGGGAAGTCGGGTATGGGTACACCGGAAGAGTCGAGCGTCGAGTTGGATGAAAATTTCCGAGCAAAGCATTCAGCCTTGTCGGTAGAGGAGGTCAAGACTTCGAACTGGTTGAATAGAGGAGGTATAGAGGGTTTGCAATTATTCAATACACTCTTGCAGAGACGCCAATAATCTTTGGAGCCAAATTTGCGAGATGCAATACGTTCATTCATTCGAGCCGCAAATAGTGACTTAGCATCATTCAGGACACGCTTACATTCGTTACGGGCGGAGGCAAAGAGACGTCTATTGCAGTCAGACATGTCGCTACGGTATAGGTGGAAGCAGCCGAGAACCAGGGGCATGAGCGCGACTTAACCCTATATTTCCTTGATGGGATGAAAGCGTCGATTCCAGCTTTAACCCAGGAAGAGACCTCAGAAGCACATTCTTGGACGGGGAGCTTAAAGACTCCATCCCAGGGAACATCGCAGAGAAAATCACGGAACACGTCCCAATCAGCTTGTTGATAATAGAACAAAGTTCTAGTGGCAGGAGGTTCTTCATAGGGGGTGGAGTTAAAGGAGATGTTAACCGATACTACTGCATGGTCAGAGTTACCAAGAGGGCATAGTTGCGAGGCGCTGCAGGATTCGGGGATGGAGGAATTCTAACCTAAACTTCTTTTAATTTGTAATTAAATAAATAAAGTCTACTAAATCGGAGAAATGAAAATTTAACTTTAGTAATATTTAAATATAAAATTTAAAAAAAAATCGTAATATACTTTAAATATACGGAGAAAAAAAAATGCCATAAGAATTTTAGCCGTTAACAATATAATTTTAAAAAAATCTAGACGACAGCCTTTAACGGAAGTTAGATTTCATTAAAAAATGCATCCCTTCCCACGACCCAAACGTAGCAATAACTGATACATTAAATTATAGACATATTGAAAACCCAGTCTCTCCTGTCTAGAAAAATAGATTTATCTGTAACCTTGGAAACATGAATTTTGTTTTAGCTGTGTATTTAAAACCCAGTAATTTTAAAAAGTTACTCCAAAATTTGCTTGAGGATGAAATGGAACTAATGTCTGTAATTTAATCACAAAATTAAATTCATGGCTTTTAGTTTCCATTTTTGAAACATGGTTAGAACTGTGTAGTGAAAAAACCATATTTTAAATCAATTAATTTATAATATATATATATATATATATATATATATATATATATATATATATATATATATATATATATATATATATATGTATAAATTTCAAGAGGATAGAATCAGGTAGACAATCAATGTCCAAGACAGAGCAAGAATATAATATAAAAGCCTCAAACGCTAATATTCCACGGTTATAATTTATTACATTGGAATATTTTTTGAGCCTTTTACATTATACACACACACACACACAGACAGACACACACACACATATATATATATATATATATATATATATATATATATATATGTGTGTATGTGTATAAGTAAAAAGGCAAATGATTTGCGGAGGTGGTTTTGTTAAGTTGAACATCTACGGTGTTTACAAAATAAAAATTATAAATGAAATGGATAAATTAAATTTTCCATCTTCTTATTATCATTATAATGCTCTGTATTTTACATAAAGCTCTCCCTGGATTTATATCCTCCTCGGAATTATCCCTTCCAGTCAGAAATTGGTAAAACATATAATTATATATATATATATATATATATATATATATATATATATATATATATAAAACATGTAAGCAACACTAAAAGAGCTGTTTAAAATGTGTGTAATGAAAATGTGCTCAATCGCAAGGTAGAAAAACTAACCTGCAGAGCTATTAATAAATGTATATTGTGTGGAAGTAAAGAGTAGTGATGGTATATATTGGCTGTATGGGGGGCCAATTTAAAAAAAGATAGTACATAGGTTTTGTACATGTCTGGCTAGGCACTATTGGGGTTTTAGAGAGACTCATAATACAAGACCAGTGATTGAATGGAGTACCCTGAGAAAAGTGAAGAATTACAAGCTAAATGGCATCTCCTGTAGACTTTGCCAGGAGAAGTTGGCTAATGCGACTTATAAGGGTGTAGCAGAGTTATTAAATGAAAGAACAGAGGTCATGACAAAAGGTAGGCACAGAAGGAAGTTATACTTAGGCATTTACAAACCCGGATTAGGTTGGAAGGTATATATTTTTCTCCTCGCCAACTACGCCCAATTACTTCAGGTGTAACATTATCTTATTTAAGTTTTGCTGTGTGAAAGGTAATTTAATTCACTGTATTTACCACCTGAAGAGTCAAAACTATGATTGTATTTCTATCCAGCATCTAAGGATTTTATTACTTATACATACATACATATATATATATATATATATATATATATATGTATAGGAAATGACAGCCCAGACACCAGCACATATGATTTGATTATAGTGGTGAAGGCTTTGTGCAGAACCAACCACACTTTTTGAAGGGCCGAATACAGAGACCTGGTGCACTACATGTCACAAGGTCCCCAAATGATCCTTTGCAGGTTTTAAATTCAGAGTTGTCCTTCTCCTGGACCAGTTGCCATCCAAAGCTATAGAACCCAGCCTGTCTTGCTATTTACACATAGATAGATAGATAGATAGATAAGAAGAGGATTAATACCTTTCCCAAGAGTATTAGCACATAAATGAATGTAATGGATTTGAGTGGAATTGTAACTTGGTTCTCTGATTCCTCAAATAGAGTATTTATCCACTACTCCACCATGCCTCCTATTCATGCTGGTATATATATATATATATATATATATATATATATATATATATATATATATATATATATATATATATATATATATATATATATATATATATATATATATACTTATTGAAAGCGCTCAATATCAGAGATAGAGCTAACATATTAAAAATTAAAAATTATAGCAATCTTCAACTACCATAATTTTACACAGAATACCTATTATCAGGATTTATACCAAAATAAATTAATACATATAACAAAAATAAAACAAAAAAAAAAAAAAACACCAACAACCACTTTTTAGTTCAAGCTAACACCGCTATAACTACATTCATAGTTTTATCATTCTCCCACTAATTATTTCTACCAATTTGCAATTTCTTCCAATTTACAATAACTATTAGCTAAATAGCATTGTCTCCAATCCCTTAAAACATTACTATCACATCATATCATATAGACCCTATAATTATTAAATTGAACCACCCTCTCACCCAGCATAGTATATTAAACATCACCATATAAATTAAACAATAAGGATTACAAATTTTTACCTGTTACATATACACAGTCACCAAAAACAAATAAATAACCAGCTTTAAATATAACAAATAAACCCCATTTTTTTTTTAAAAAATTTTAAAATAAATATAAATAATAATAATAATAATTTTTACCTATCATAATTTTACACAAACCCCCACCACACGTATATACATACATCTAGAGGAAATATTTTTCACTGGAAAAAAAAAAATACATAATATGACATGGATACATTCATGAGACATTAACGAGACATTTCCGCCACACTTCCAATGTTTAAATTTCAACATTCAACATACAAATGTGTATGTATAGACATAACACCACCCGTATATACATAAATGTGTCATAGCCGAAACTGCCCACATACGTTTATATATGTATGAGTCCTGACGGACGACCAAGTATGAATATGTGTCTGCATATAAAATGTTTTGCGTTAGTCGATGAATGACAAAACGACGAAATTTCCCCACCACTTCACAATAACACCAATACACACAATCTACATAAACCCAAATTTTTAAAACATTAATCAGTTTATCTGACGATCGCTAAAGCGTGAAACCCAAGGTCACAAACTCACATCTATCCAACCAAATATGTTAGCTCTATCTCTGATATTGAGCGCTTTCTAATAAGTACGTTTTTGCATATAATATATAAATAATTATACATATATATATTTATTTATATTTATATACACTTTTCACATATATATATATATATATATATATATATATATATATATATATATATATCAGTTTTAGTAAACACAACTAGGAATGTATTGCAGTTTTATCTTTAGCTAAAATAAAATGTCTACACCTAAGACATACAGTGTGTAACACACAAATTTTGTCTAGATTACTCAAAATGAAAATAACACTGATATCTCATTTTAGCAGGTATATTTATCAAAATTACATAAAAATACC